GTAAAGACCATTTCATTTTTCAAAAAAGTGAAGTAAGAAGTTTCGTAAAGAGCGCGAACGGTAGTGTGAATGATTTTTTGACTGAGAAAATAAGCAAAAACAAACAAACAATCTCAGAGTTTTAGTAGTATATAGATAGATTCTTCAAGATTTTGTTTTTGTCATCTTACGCCTTTTAATAAAGATGGGAACATTGACAGGGAAATAATATAATAGCCAATGCTCGGCGAGAGGTTTTCGTTTATAAAATTTTGTTGTTGTTCTCGACTTGATTTTTATTTTAATACCTCGTCTCCATAGTTACTATTTGCAAATAGTCAATAATATTGTTGGTCCATTTTATTGTTGTTCTTTCTACGTGCAGTTATAACACATTTTCAACTCATCATTTAATTTCTTTTGTGCATATATTGTTGTATAGAAGATATTTTAAAGTGATTCATCAGGTGGAAAACGAAGTTTAATAATAATGGAATGTACGAAAATTGACCTGAAAAATGAGAGACTTGTTTTATTCTGTTTCTATTCTCATTTCATTACAAATATGGTGCTATTGTGTACTGTTTTTGCTGTATTTAATTACAGACAAGCACACACACACAAATAAACAAACAATCTCAGAGTTTTAGTAGTATATAGATGACTTTCCCTAGTTGAATGAGAATGACCAGTCACGTGCATATTGCTAGTCCCTATGGGTATATCTGAAATTTCCCATTTAGTAAGAAACATTTGATTTAAACATTGTGAAATAGATCTTTATAGAGTGAAATGCTATTGTTCCTGATCTAGAGTGAATTTGTTAATGGAAATACATTTCAAGAGAGGAAAGCCAGTTTAATCAGTTCACAAGTCCATTGAAAGGTGACCACCCAGCATCCAGAAACAAATACAAACATTGTATTTGTCTTTGAATTAATAGATTTTTGTTCATTGTATGTTATACTTCGTGTTCAGTTTATTTATTTCTTTGCTCTTACTCACTTCATTTTAGTTAATAAATTCAGTATCACTTCATAATTTATCCTTCTTTTATAAAGTGAACTTACATAATGCTCTTTGAGTAAATCATTTTAATTTGAAACTACCACGAAGTTACTACTAACTAACAGATATGCAGATGTAAAATAAATTTCCCTTTATTTTATGTGCAGTCCAACAGAAAATTTAATAAATGCCAGTTCTAATATTCAGTCCCAAACAATATAAAATTTGCATTACAGAGACAAACAAAACCTTATGGGATAAAATTTAAAAGCTAGAAAACAGAAATCCCAAAGATAACAAAGATTATAAAAATTATTATTCCAAATTAGTAGTTTCTTACTGTTCTAGAAATTGGATGTAACATTTCTGTCTGTCAACACATTATTAAGTAATTGTTAAAATTTAACACACATTACAAGCCAATGAATCACTATTCAAAATAAAAACACTTAAAAAATGACATTGATTTGATACTCAAAAATGTTTGATGACTATTTCATGAAGAAAAAGGTTCATAGTTGGTGGATGAGGTGTTTATTGTATACTGTTTTAGAATATTCTAACAATAGTTGTACTTCTGAAAATATATTATTTTCAAATCATTTGATTTGGAAGTCATTTATCAAAATAAACACACATTAGTTTAGGGTTATTGAAAGTTTTATTTCAACTTCATATTTGAAATATAGCACTATAAAGGTGTGATATATTTATTGACATAAATTTCATAAAAGGACTTACTGTATTTAAGAGAAGAAGTTATGCAATTAATTCAAAAATTTTAAGATCTGAAGTTTATGAAATTATTAGTTATCAGATACACATTTGACATTATGATTTTACACCGATGCTGGTACCAAGACAAAACAGTACTTTGCATCTTCTAAGTATCCAGACCTATTGTAGCTTATGCTTGTACAAAAAATCTTCTGACTTTTAACAGAAACCTGACCTAAGTCAGTATTTCAGGGTCATTTTTTGAGATTAATACAAATCTACTGAGAAAATGGGAACGGTGGGTGAGAGTAATCATACTGAAAATGTTCTGTTGTATAGAACTGTTTTCATTGCTGCTTTTCGAAAAGTGATCATCAGTTTCTCTGTTGTGGGTATGTTTTTGTTGTTAGCTCATCTTAGTCATTATAATGCATAGGTCAGTTACACTTCAATTATATTAAAATCAAATAAACATATTGCAACCATGCCATGTTTGTTTTGTATTTATTTCATTTTTATGAGTATCTTGGACACCACTGACTATAAGCCTAATACCTATGCTCTTGACAAAAAATACAAATATCATATAGAACAGAACATTTATGGATTAAAAAAAATTATTTTGTGATATATCTATGATTTTGTTCTTAACGTTATCATGATGCGATTTTTAAACCCGTCTTCTTGCATGTTACCGAGTTACATTCAAAATTGAATTAAACCACTCTACTAGAAATGTATTTTAATGAAATTATTGTTATCAAGTATGTTATATTTTATATAATACAAGTTTTTATTCCTTTATTTCAAAAGAAACCTCTAAAACAATAATTATAACTTAAACACGTATTGTGACCTCAGTTAAAAAAATCTCAACTTTAGAGCTATATAGGGGAAACAAGTATGAGAATGTAGACTTGTCTTGGTTGAGACGGTCAAAGTACAGCATGTATAAGTTATTGTAAATGTAATTTGAGACATTGCAAGAACTAAAGCCATTGAAAAGACCATTGGAAAACTCCAGAGTTGCAGATAAGCCATGCCCACTTTCAAAGTAGAAGCTGTGTTGTTAAGTTTTAGTTGAATGGCATGCTTTTAACCAATAGAAAGATGATTTCACTGTTGAAGGTTGTTACTTTAACAGGAAACATGCATTTATGCATCCATTTTTTAAATGTGTGTGGGGGGGGGTATAAAAAATGATATGCTTTGGGTATGACAGTTTTAGAATGGAGCTTTTTGCAGTGGAAACTGTACTGAAGTATCATTATCAAGATTCACAGCCATCAGTTAGAGCATGACCCAATATGACCATATGAACTGTAACAAAGTGGTGAAGCTTCAAAATAATTTTAATATAATGTACTCAACCTCTATACATGTGTATTCTCTAAGAAATACACTCATGGAGCCTGTTGTGTATGGACTCATACAATTTTGAGTTCATTATAATATATGAAATGCGTTTTCTTGATTAAATTATTTTCTCATTCTCTCAGACTCATTAGTGTGGGATCACATTTTTATTTACAATGACTTTATTTCTTACATGTTGTACATGTAGATTTTGTTAGAAATTGTTATGCAATTTTGAATGATTTATGATTAATGCTTGTACCATTTGTCCTTCCTCCTTGTCTATGTACCATTCCATTCTTTTGTTCATCCTGTTCTTCACCTAGTTGTTTGATCACGGTTTTTCTTTTGTAACTGTTGCTCTTTATAGGGCTGCCCTGTCTAACACCTTCCATTCTCCCATTTCCAGATAGTCTTCTCTTCCTTGGTCACTTCCCTGTTTTTCTGTTCCTTTCCTCTGGCCCATCCACCATGTTCCTTTTTTGCTGGACTGGGATTTCCATGTAGTCCTTCATGATCTGTCTGGTTCTCCTTTTGAACCCATTGCAGTGTGTTCCTTGTATCATTTTTCCCATAAGACTTATTTCCTCCCCCTCTTGGCATGTGGTCATTGTTGTTTTGATATTTATGTCATTAATGTTTCTCACATCCTTTACCATTCATCATATGTTATCTGTTATCCAAATTGGGCCTTTCTTCCCAGGACATTGTCCATACAGGAAGGTTGTTTAGCTTTTTATTCTAATTCCTAACCTTTCTTTTCCCACCTGTACTCCCATTCAGATTTGAATTGTCTACTTTGTCCAGTTCATTCCCTAATACTTTATATGGCTCTTACTGACTCCTTTCATCATTTTTGTTCCTGTCTATTTGTTCCATGAATTTCCTCTGTTTCCCGTGATCTTTCACCAATTACGTTCACTGGTTGGGTTCGTCAACTCATGTGACTGGGGTATTCTTATGTGTCCATGGAAGGTTGCCGTCTACGTGATGTTTCTTCTCACCAAATTTGTCATCTAAATATGTTTTTAGTTGCTGAACACTGCTATCTTTTGGAGAAAATCGTTCAGGCTGGTATATGGACAACTCCCAATACATTTGTTGCTCTTTCTCTGCACAACATGGCTGCGTCTTCTTCAAGCAGTATCGTGTTCCTTCTGTGGCAATTCTACACATGTCTGTTCCCCTTTGATTTGTTGATATATATCATATTTCAGGATACCACCTGGTGGTGGGTATTGCGTGGTCAGGTATGCTGAGTATTATATCTTAGCACTAAATCTGTATACTTCTATAAAGCTCCCTGTGAAGGTGGGGTGTTTCTGTAAGATCATCTGCTGCATATCCAGTGGTATATATATATATATATATATACCTATATCAATAATTTTTTTCTTATCATTATAGCATATATAAAGGACCGACAAGTGATTCTTACAATCAGGGTCTTTCTGCTTTCAAACTAGGGAATTGCAGACACCCATTGCACTGTCTCCAGTGTGTCATTCCTCCAGACTCCCAAACGTGCATCCCCCCCCCCCCTCTTTTCTTTTTGTAGTGCACGGTTAGTTCTTGCCACTTCCAGTTACCAGTCTCTAGAGTGGTGGACCATGGAGGTTTCCTCGGGAGTGGGGTTTGTACAATAAACTAATTCAAAATTCATGGCTCATATGTACTCACTAAATGAGAAGAGAGCTATCATCATTATACTTATTGATTATGCAATAACATAATATTCTGGATTCTAGATGTTTTTACCTGGGCTGACCACACTTGGCTTTCATAATATATATCAAAGGCACTTCTCCTAGATGTTTTTTTGCCCTTTTGCACCATACTTGTTGTTCTTACAAACTTATGCAATTTGCTTCTACTGTTGTTTTTCACTAAATGGACCGTACTTGGCAAAATCCATTGTATCCCAAGGTGCTTCCCCTAGATGTTTTTTTCTCTGGGTGGACCTCACTTGGCCTGTTCATATACATTTTATGGTCCTTTAGCCCTAGCCACATATACTTATATCTGATTATCAGGCACCTTCATCAATTCTAACTGGCATTGTGTCACATACTCACGTTTGTTATGTATGTGGAACACGTAGGTATTATCTGTTGTTCACAAGTGGAATCTGTATTACATGACATGGTGCCTGACTATTCCATTCCACCCTATATGTCTTATTATGTTCTTTACTGGCTGAAGTGCATACCTGTTCCAGAAGTAGTGCTATACCCCTCAGGTGTGCATCCTTTTCTAATTATGGCACACCTGTTCTTTCACGGCAGTTGTTCTCCCCTTGTTTGACTACTGTTGAGCCTTCACTAGCCCCTCCAATTTTGCAATGTAGGATTCTAGCTTTAGGTCAGAATAGGTAGTATCATTTTGGAAGTTAACATTTACTAAGACTGAAAATGTATTTCTGATAAGTACTTACCTCCCCTGATATGCCTGTGTTTCTAGTTTGTATCTGCCAATTCTCTAATGTGATGATTATGCTGTAATGGTAGAGGGAGCTACCTGTGCTAGTATAGGTGGTGCAGTATGATTGGTGGAGGGTAATATCATATTTTGGTGCAATGGCACAGTAATAAATGACTGGTGTGCTGTTGGAAATTTTAGCAATGCATAGAGGGCAAATCAAGGTCAATTCAAGAGACAACTGATTTCAACCTGTTTTTCCTTTTTCTGTCCATTTGTTACTTTTTTTTTTTTACTTTTTACCTTATATAGAAGGTTGCATTATACTTATGTCATTACTGAAAATCCTGAGTTTAGCACACTTTCCTCAACTTCATTTCTTTACAATGTGTTTCTTTTTGGGCATGGTTTCACGTTGGTTGTTCCTACTGCTTTTTAAAGTAATTCATTTTTGCATTTGTTTTCAAACTCGGGGAAAAATTGCTCTGGAGCTCTTATTTTTTTTATTTGTTTTATTGTCAGTTTTTCCGATTTCCTCTTAATAAGTAATAATACAGTTGTTAGTCCTCATGGTTTGGTGACTTGTTCCTGTTAATGTAACTAATCAGAAAGTGGTACTAAATCAGCATAATGATTTTACTAGTCGATGTTGGTTGGCGATTAGTGGAAATTGTAATCAAATAATCAACTAGCTCATTGATAAATTACATTCAACTAATTCATTATTCGTTTTTATGTTGGTACCGACTGTTGGGTGCGTTAGAGTTATATTCTGTTTTTCTTGAACATTAGAACATAGTCTCATCTTTCCATATCTTTTATCTTTCTCAATATGATTTTATTGTTGTTGGCTTTTCTGATGTGATGACTTAAACAAAGGCATAAATAACATGCCAAAAGTATAATAATTCTTATTTCACATTACAGAAATGGGATGATTTGAATAAAACAAGTTGCGGAGTAGTTACCATTATACCACAATTTTTATATTACAAGGAAGAGTGATATTTGTAAGAGCATACATAATTTGTGGAAAGTATTTTTGAACACTATGAAACTTTTTTACATTACAGAAAAGAGATGGTTGTAACAAGATGACATGTTGGAAATGCAGCACATACTTTTGCTGGTTGTGTATGTCTCGACTCTCTTCAACAAGCCCGTATCTGCATTTTAATGATCTAACCTCTCCATGTTTTGACCAGCTGTTTCAAGGCATATTCAATCCGGCAGATGAGGATGACTGGGAATTTGGACAATTTTTGTAAGGTAAAATAAGCCTGATTATATGTTTGTATATATTTTTTTTAAGTTACTAAGGAATATTCATCTAACTCTAATACCATTTTGTACTCAAGAAATCTAAAGATTTTGAAATAACTGATAATTTAGAAAAGTTTCACATTTAATAATATTGTGATAGTATAGTTATAATTTGATTTTAAAGAATTTAGTGCAAAATATAAATTTTTAAAACAAGAAGAATTGTCAGAATTTCAATAATTGTTGTTTGCAGTTTGCTTAAGCACAAAAAAATCAATATAATAAAAAAATACCATGGGTGATTGACTTTTTTAAGAATATATACACAACTAACTACAAAATACAGAAATAAAATATACATATACTGTAAGTGCCACAACAACAACAAATTTGGAAGTAAATACAAAGAAAAAGTCATTTTCTCAGTTCTGAACTCTGGGGTGTCTTCAGAGTTTAAAAAGTCTGTCATTGGCAATTTTAAACTGCATAGGTAACTTAATATTGTATAAGTAGTTGTATTTTCTTATATAATTTTTTAACGAAGAGTCTTCCCTCTACCAGAGGTGTCTCAGTGGCAGGGATTGTATGTGAAAAATCCAGGATTTATCCAATTTTGTTGAAACTTGTACATTTGATGAAATATGACAATCACACTTTACTATTAGTAAATCAGACAAAAATTGACTGAGCTGTGACTGGCCACATTATCATCAGCAGAAACCTCATAATTAAAGACAGTACTTCTTGTTGTGAACAGAAGGTCAACTATGTGAACCTTCTTCTTTGCCTGTTATTGTATCTGTTTTTCAGATAGAGCCCAATAGACTTTCAACAGATACCTCCAAGCACTTATGACCATGACTGAAACTTTGCTACTCTTCAATATGTCATCATCAATCACCATTAATCCCTCAGTTGCCTACATGTGCTAGGTTCCAAGATGTATTACTTAACCCCTTACCTACCAGCACCATCATGAGGGCAAAATCACATTTGTGAATTGAAAAAATTATATAGAACTTATCTTTTATTGGATTTCAGATTTTATTTTTGTAAATAATAACATAACATTCAATTATTTGCCCTAAATTTTATTATTTAGCACTGGTCCTGTCATTTATGATTAGTATCTAAACCTTTTTCTAGTCTGTTTTCTTCATAAAACAGCATCTGGGTGTTCTGAACCTCAGTTGTAAAACTTTTAGCCAATCCTAGTCGAAGCTGTCAATTTCAGTACCATGTTATTCCAATTGCCATATTTCATATTTGACAAATCGTAGGATGATAAGCAAAGCAAGTGACAAAATGTTGTTCACTGGATTTTACAGTATGAACTTGTGTAGTGCTTATTATAGTAACTGCCATTTTATCTAGAGGTTGTATTTAGTAGTGATGAATAATACTTTTTTATAAGCCTTTGAAAATTTGCTTCTGGAAAAAGCTGCATAGAATGTATGTGACTTTTGTTATTTTTCTATAATAGCTTAAATTATGCTATATCATATATCTATTTATATTAGTCATTATATTGAAAAATTAACTGAAAATAGATATATTTTCAGGAAAAAAGTTGATCCACAAATGTTAGGGTTAAGATCTATCAAGTGGCAAGTGCATGGTATTTATGTGAATTGGGCATAGCACTTTGAACTGAAAGAGTTTGTGATTTTTATATTCTTTTGAATTTAGATTAGTAGTTTTAAGTTCAATAATTTAACATAATTTTATATTTAGTTCATAATAAAAATATGATTCAGTATTTAGAATTATAACCTTGCGTGATTTCTACATACTACTAGTAGTACCACATAAGAATTGTATATTTTTCCTTCTTGCTATCTTTACTTTGTAGTAAGACCCACACTTCTGTTGTTGTTGCTTTATAATTATAACAGTCTAACTGATGTATAAAAAGCTTATTTTGATATTTTGCAAATGGTTTAAAACTCAGTGTACAAGTGACAACAATAAAACCCATACGTTGGTTGTGAAACAGACTAAACACATTCGTCTTAATAATACAGGGAAGCTGTGACATTCTCACAGTTGGGGTGTCAGTACACTGAAGAGCTTAAGTTTCAAATTCCAATATAAATTTTGCCTATAATGTGAGGAATGTAAGTGCTGTAAAGTAATTTCCTTTGTAATTTATATTGTCTGTATCCTTTGGTTATCTCTTCTAACAGAATGTATCATGTAAGTAGGGTCAGGCAGTGTTATTCAAACCACCTGTACTGTAAACTATTAGTATTACATACATTTGCTAGTTGTGGCAGTTAGTTTTGTCTGTATAGTGAAACAAAATACAAGGGCATATGTTGAAATAAACTTGTTTGAAAGTTCAAAGAAATGATATTCAAGTACCATAAAGTGTTCTTACTATCATATCTACAGTAATGTTCAAATACACCTGTGCTGGACTGAACAAGAGTGACCCCCAACAGGCGTGATAGTTTACAGCAAATATATGAAGTTCACGCTGTTAACCTCATGTTTTTTTTTCAGCACAATGTGCATAGTTCATGGCTGCAATGAAACATAGACTTGAAATAAAAATACATTTATGAAACAAAATTAAAATGTTTGTTTTATGGACAATAAAAAGTTTTTAGAGATTTGAAAATAATGTAATAAAACATAAAAAGGTAAGAAGTTCAAATCTGGGACAAATATAAACATTGTATTCATTTCTTATAAGTACCATTTCCTAATGTTATTTTACAAGATATTAAAGATGATAATGCAAAAAAACTAAAATTATCAAAAGTAACAGGCTTTATGTTTCTTAAACTACATGTATTTATGAAAGTTCTTATGAAGTTTCTAACAATTTCATCTACTAGTTTTATTGTTAGAACAAAATATAGCAAGACTTGAATTGGCCTACGCAGAAAGTTAGTAGCCAGTAGTAATCAGGTTAAAACCAGTGTAGCCACTATGGATATGGTCTTGATAGACTTTTTGAGAGAAGTCCACATATCAAGCCCAAAGATGCTGTCATGGTACTCAAAAATAGACTTGTTACTGGCAAAAACATTAGTGATAGGAATAGTAGCCTTTCACCAGATTATAATGGCTTCAGTTTCTGTCAGATCAGCTTAAATGTAACATGAATTGGGAATAAATAAACACAGATTTATATATAAGTATCATGTTTTATATACATAAATACAACCAGTCTTAAGTTATAAGTAGTGTTTTGTTAATTATTGACAACTGTTATTTCCTGAACTACATATAAATAGTGTATTCCTGTATGAATTTTCTGAACATAAGGATCCATAACCTGAAAATAATAGCACAATAATTTTTCTATTGTCAAAACATTTTTATATTAAATTTTGTGCAGCTATTCTCAACCCATAGCGAAGTAGACTTTGAAAGTTTTTTTTTTTTTTCATTTATTTATATCTGGTGAATGCTATGTGTAAAACTTCATATCTTATTTCAGAGTTCTATATGTATCTGTTCATAGTGTTGTGCCTGTCACTGTTGATTAAACCCTTTGGGAGTAATTTGTCTGTAGTTGTTGATGGGTATTTTTTAAACATACTTTCATAAGCTCTGATGCAATGTATATTTTATTTTGTGCTTATATATTAAAGCAATTTTCAAGTATGAGAAATTTATAATTTAAATTTTGAAAAGTCTTAGATATAGTTAAAACTAATTGAAAATCAGTTTGTTTGTTTTTTTTTTGTTATGAGACATATTTGAAGGTATGTATTAGGCTTATTGTCACAAAATATACTGTCAAAATATGAAGTATTGATAAAGAATGATTTGTATTAGACATCATTCTTTAACTTAATTATATGGTGAAACATAAAAATAGTTGTACTCAGTGATAATTCAGTTATATTATTAAATAATGGAATATTTTACTCTATCAAGTTATAATTTTAGAACGTTTATACAACTTTCCACTGAGGCTGTTATGAATTATGTTGAGTAAAAAAATGGACTTGAGCATGGATTAAAATATTTTGTTTTGTCTGTTGGAAGATTCAGTAAGGGAAGATGTTAGGCTAAGTCTTTATCAGAAATTTTGCTTTATAGTTTTTCACAGAGTAATTAATATGTATGATACAAACTGTTTGTTTCATGATTCTTCATGGTTATGTGAAAGATTCAAATATAAAAGTCAAACAGTTCCTGACAGAGTCTTTGAAAGCTTTATTTGAGAACAACATTCTGGCCATCAATCATCTTAAGAGTGCTATCATAAGGCATGATATAAGTAATAAGGATCATTGTGTAAAATTGTTTTACAGTGTATTTCACTAAATAATACTCAACCATCTTTTAAATACATGAATCGAGATTATAACTTGGTTCAGTGCAACATGTTTGCTCTATACACTGCATCTATTGTTTTGCTAAAAACCTATCTAACTGTTTTGCTGTCATGTGTGCATATAATAATATCCTTCTCTAAAGCATTGCATAAGAGATTGGAATTTTGTACCATCAAAAAGAAAGGGTATACCTCATCAAAGTTTCTAGTTTCAAATAAGTAATGAAATACCAAAACATGTCTCTTTGTTTTTTATTATTTTAACTAAAAATAAACCAATTATTGGGAGTTTTTTTCTGTAGATTTGGCAATGAAAATGTTAGGAAGTTTATCAATTTGTTGTATACAACTTGCTTCACTCTCTTTATTTGCAGACTTGAAGCTACAGACTTAAAATTGAGAGACTTGCAAATAATAATTCTGGCTGACATAGTGACTTGTTGTTCAGAAAAAAATCAAATTGCCCCCTTTTGTTGCAATGTATTTTACCTTCAGGTGTAAATATAAACTTAATAATTAATTTGTAATTGAGTTTCTTGATACAGGAATAGACTGACTGCTCTACTGCTATAAATAGTGCTTTTTAAAATAAATTTTTAAGTCAAGTTCATTTTTGTTTATTTTCATGATTCCTTATCATGCCAAATTCTGTAAAAAAAAACAGAAAAACCAAAAGAGTGAGAAAGATCAGCATATTCAAAAATTCTCC